ATGTTTTGAAAAAAATCTAGGCTTAAAATCATCAGTAATTAAATAAAACAAACTCAATTTGGTTAATTCAAGTCAGATTCCCTTCACAATTTCCAACCCAAAGTATTGAAATCCTTTCCCTCAATAGTACTCTAGAGGGAGTTAAAATGTATCAGTCCATTATCTTATGTAATATAAATATTCTTACATAGCTGATATGAGTGAGTTATATGGCTTCTTGTAAAGGTGCTCTCATTCTAGACAAAGGATAGAGCAGTGAATATGTTTCTGAAGTAACAAAATTCTCAGAAAAAGTGTTAAGTACGCACAATGATTACTACCAGATCTTTTGTCAGAATAATGCTTCCTTCACTAGCTGAATAATTGACCCACACAAGAAAAATAGTACATCATTGTTATGGCTTGTAGCTAGATGTCCCTTTAAAGCCTCATGCAGCCGTAGGTGGGGGTTTTCAGAGGCAGTGGGATATAAAGTTATGTGATGCCAGGATTAAGGATGTGATGCTGGGATTGATTCACAGTGAGACGCTAGGATGACCTGGGTGAGACCCTGGATGTCAGTGCTACCTGAATAGAGTACAAACGATAGAAAGATGCTGATCACTTGCTGTTTACTGCCTGTGGATTTGCTGCTTTCTGCCTACTATAAACTGTTTGTCCTCTATGATGCCCCTCTGCCATGCCACCCTGCCTTGGAGACAGTCAACTGTGAACTGAAACCTCTACAAAGTGTGAGCTACAATAAACCTTTCCTCCTTAACTTCAGGTGTCAGGTGTTTTTGTCTCAGCAATGAGAAAAGTGGCTAAGACAATCATACTGACCTAGTTCTCAGGGTAAGCAATGAGTAAGAGATGATTGTGGAATATTTATCAAAAGTAAATATCTAACTGGGGTTAGCCTTTGGATGGGCTGAATGAAAATGAAACTATTAAGCATGAAAAACTACAGGTTTATACACATTTAATCTTGCTAGTCTCCTCCTGAACATTCCTAAGAAACGACAGTCCTTCTTCAACATATAGCATAATCCTTGCATGCGATTTCCCTCTGAAGGGAAAGGTGTATCATGCATGGATGAAAGTCATCAGTTACTAAAACACTAACTACATACTGGCTACCTCATTACCTCACAACTTTGTGAAGTAGAAGTAGGTCCTGTTGACCTAATTTTACAGATGAGGAAGCAAATTTCAGAGAGGCAGAAGTAAGATTTGAAGCCAGTGCTTTGCTTGCACAACTAGCATACATTTAGTTTCTGTTAAAAACAAGTCTGACCATTTAACCTTGCCTGGCATCTCATCGGGGAAAGGGGTATTAAGTGGAAAACAATGACAAAGGAGGAAGAGGCAGACTGCATATTGTTTCAGGTTCCTACACGCTCATCCGCAGCAAAATTAACAATAGCAAATATGAAATGATTTGTAAGGAGTAATAAGCTATGGAACTAATAACCAAGCTGCAGTAAAACTTAAACCAGAATTTCAAATGTTGAACGAACCCAATCCTTTATGGTAGCCCTCCAAGTACAATTCGTGGAGAACTTGCATCGAATTACATCAGGTACTGGATAGGTGTAAGAATTAACGCTTAGAAATCGGAGTCAAGATCTTTGAGCAAGGTCCAGGATTTTATACATGATTTCCATGCAACAAAAGTTTGATAAGTACTATTGGAGCTCCTAACCTCAGTTCCATAACTTTTTCAAACTTCATGAAGTGGCTGCAGAGTTCATCGGAGTCACAATTATCAGGTAAAAACACAATAGGATGCTGCAAATACATTTGTCTCTTGGTACCCTTGGGAGATTGGTTACAGGACACCTGCTCTCCAAATTCCCTTATATAAAATAGTGTCATGTTTACATAGAGCCTATGCAATACTCCTGTATATTTTAAATCATCTCTAATTGCTTTTAATAGCTCACATAATGTATACACCATCTAAGCAGTCATTGCATTGCAACATTTAATTAAGAAGTGATGACAAGGAGAAAATATACTGCAGAGTATAGACATAAATTTTTTCCCAAAATACTTTCTTTTTTCTTTTTTATATTTATTTACTTAATTGCAGTACTAGGGATGAAACATAGGTTCTTTTCACTGAGCCACATGGCAATATTCTTTTTTTCCTTGAGCCACGCCTGATTGAGCCCAAAAGTTGTCCAGGCTGGGCTCAAACTGATGATCCTGGTTCAACCTGGGGGCACCACAGACTTTCAATTCATGGTTGTTTGAATCTATGGATGCAGAACTTGTAGATATGGTGAGTCCCATGTGTAACATAGCTGAATTTAGTCTAGCAACATATAGACTATGGGAATACCCAGACCTGATCTCAGATCTCATCCGCTGCTTAGTAGCAATGTGCTTATGTGTATGTTTCTAATATCTCTGATCCTTAGTTTCTATGTATGGAAATAAAAATATGAGGACTGAGACAATATATGTAAGTATAATGCCTGGCACATAGTACCCATTCAGTAAATGATAGGAATCTTTATTATTAAACATCTAATGCTGTAAAGAGGTAGGATGCAAACTTTTTTTTAAAAATACAGTGTCTTGTTATGTAGCCCAGGCTGGCCTTGAACTCAGGGTGATCCTCCTGCTGCAACCTCCCAAGCCTGGGTTGGGTGCAGTATCTTAATAGACTCAAGTATTGAAATAGTAGGGGGCAGAGTTTTCAAATGATTTGCAACACTGGGGACTCAGCACCCAGCACTGGAGTCAAATTGTCTGGATCCAAATTCCAGCTGGTCTACTTTCTGACTCCTTGCAGAATAAACCAGACCCTTTTCACCCCCTGGGAATGAGACCTGTGCTAGTATCACTACTCCGCATATCTATTCACTATGCTGCTAAAGGAGGAGGGTAAAGGTAAAGGTGTATAGGTAAAGACTTTACAACAGTGACTAACATATGACGTTTTGACAGTGACTAACATATGACGTTTTGTAAGTGCTCACAAAAAAAGAAAGAGAACCTGACAAGCATGAGGTCCTGAGTTTGATTCCCAGTATCCCCCCCCTCCACCAAACAAAGAAAAACGGAAAATAAAAGAAAGAGGAATCTGCTTATTTGTGTTCTTATTCAACAAATGTTACATGACTACCACGTGTCAGAAACAAGTTTATGTCCAAAATTGAACTCAGTGTTTCCTTTGTCCTCTACATTTCCAAGTCTATTGGTTTTTGTTTATTTGTTTTGTTTTGTTTACTTTTTTTCTCAGCTGAATTCTATGCTGTTCAGGCTGCTCTTGAACTCCTGGACTCAAGTGATCTTCCCGATTCAGCCTCCAGAGTAGCCAGGACACTGGACCTCTCGCTGTCTTTTATTGATGTTCATGGTGCTACTCGGGCTGGGATAATGGTAGAAAATATATTTGAGTGCGAGGCAGTATTCTGACTTTCCTTTTGGCTTTTTGTTGTTGGTGGTGTTCCACATGCCTGAAACTCATTATGTAGCCCAGGCTAATCTTGAACTCAGGGCAATCCTCCTGCCTCAACCTCATACAGATATGAGCCACCATGCCTGGCATGAGGCAGTATTCTAAAGATGTTTTAACATGAAATTATTTCTATTCAGAGTGACTGCATTAAGAATAGGCACTATTAAAATATCAATTTCCAGATGAAAAAAGTTGTAATAACTATATACCAGAGTCTAGGGTTATAATGTTCATAAATAGTAAAGCCAAAATTCAAACCGAAGCAATTTAGGTTTGTTATGTAGTTTGTTGTTGTTATTGGTTTTTTGAGACAGGGTCTCATTGTATAGTTCAGACTGGCTGTGAACTCACTGTATAGCATAGGCTGGAACTCACAGCAATCCTCCTGCCTCAGCCTTCCAAGTACTTTGTTTACAGGTGTGCACCACTATGCGAGGCCATTTTGTATTTTAAAGTCTGACATAATACTACCTCTGAAGGTTTTGGGATTGTCAGCAAAGATTTTTCTTTTTATCATTCCAGTATTGCACACAACCCTTAGTCCTCTTAAATACCTCTGAATCTATCCCCTTTATATTCACAAAATAGAGACCAACTTTATTTTCTACTTCTGCTGGCCCAGCTTTTAGGTTCTCACCCCATCCTTCTTGCCAAAGTAAGGAGTCAGAAATGTTTCTAAAACAGACCTGAAAAATGACTCTCTTCATTGAAAACATTTAATAATATCTCCATTTCTACCAAAAAGACCCCAATATTGCATGTCATTCAGTTAGGCACCCCATATACTGTCTTGTGTATAGTTAAGTACATTGCACTTTATACTCATTGTTAGGAGCGTATTTGCTCAACTTTATATACTTGCATTGCCCCGGCTCCCACAGCCCACAGCTACAAATGAGATCTCTATATATCTAATATAGGACTCCTAACCATCCATGACACCACCTTCAAGCTTACAGCCTCCAGCTGTTGCAAAATCCTCCCCACACGGGCGACAAAGTCATCCAGGTCCTTGGGGGTGACTCTCTGGAGCTTTGTTGTGAATGCACCCCAAGTCCAGTCCAGTCCCCAGATGGAACGTGGACTCCGTCTCTCCCCTTGTCCCCCTGGGCCCTAGATTCTCAGCAGTCCCCAGTGGCCTAAGTGCTAAAGTAGGAAAGAACAGCTTCCCCATGGTGAGGAACTGTTAAAGAATTCACAGTGGAGATGTCATTCAGCCCATGCGCTTAATGAAGTTGCTGTTGATAGCAGAACCTTGGGCATTAGCTATGATTGGGCATCAACTCAGTAGGTGAATTTGAGGTGCAGTCAGATCACCATAACCAGAATCCCTCCTCACTCTAACTGTAGCTTCATTTTTGACCCATGTCATTTTTTCTCTAGCGTGTTCTGCCACACAAGAGTTTCCTCAGCTACTTCGGTAAAACTATGAGGAGCTACCATGCAGCCACATTAGGTGCCTCTGGTCACCTCCAGACTGAGGCAGGAAGGTTGGAGCTGGCCAGGGGCCACCCGCCAAATGTCACGCGGGGGTGCGCGTGGGCGGGGGCAAAGCTTCAGCGCTTGGCTGGCGGTTGGTCCTGCGCTGGCGGTTGGTCCTGCTCGCGGCTAGCAGGACCCCCTAGGTCTCGAGGGACGGATTCTAAACCACTGCACATTGCCCAGGAGACCCCAGTGATGGCACTGTGGACTCGCCTGTATGGCCGCGTCCTGGAAAGCTCTAGGGTAAGTGGGGCCAGAACTTGTACAGCACCCGGTGAGGTGCTAGAAATCATCGTGGTCAGGTGTGCGGTCGCGGGGATCTCTTGCTGGAGGGTCGCACCTGCCTGGGGTACTACCTGGAAGTCTTCAGCGATCCCTGTCGCCCTCATTAGGCCCGTCTGTCTATGTGACACAATAGCCTCTCATGATCGTACCTCTCACCTTTCCTTCCTAACCATTCTCCACTGTACTGACCTGCTGTATTTCCATTGTGAAGCCTTCTTCTTTTTTTTTTTTTTTTTTTTTGAGCTGTAAACTTAAGTTAGGTTGACTGAACAGCCACTGCAGTCCTTGAAAAACATCTCTCTTGAGCCATAGCAAATCCAATTCCTTTCTGTGTTCACTAAATTAAGCCCAAGAATTCAGGCAGGCCTTCCCAGGAGCTGACTGCACACAGTCAATAAGATGTAAGATGTAAGATGCCTGTTGGATTTTGTACTTGTCAGTTTTCCTGGCTGTATACTGCTTCTGTGCTTTTCCTGAAAAAGGATTGAGTGGAATGGGCCCCTACCAGGAAATAGAAAAAATTAGGTAACAGAAGCGCACTTGTTTTCAAAACTAAAAAGTTTGCTTTTGCAAACAAAACCTCACATGGTTTGCTCTATTCTTTATAGGAGAAATAAGTAGCTCTCTTTGGGCCTTACATCTTCCCAGCGTTGTTGTCTTCTTTAGTGTCTTCATGTGGTGGCTTTCTGCATTTAATGGGTGCCTGGGTGTATCTTCACAGAGTATTTGCATCCAAAGAATAACAGATCTGTGAATAAAGAGATTGTCAGCTTTCCTTTATTAGCTACAGATACTCATAAAGTTGTAGATTTGTGGGAACCTGTATTTTCCGTATAATGACTAGTCCTGTGTTTTTGTTCCAAAATGATGTGTGAGGTGATGCCCACCATCAGTGAAGAAGGCCCTTCAGGAGGAAGTGAAAACCATGGATCTGGCTGCCCTTCACAACCAGATGCAGATTCCCATTTTGAACAGCACATGATGTCCATGCTAGAAGAAACATACATTGCTCAGAGCACACTGATAGAGACTCAAGAAACATTGGCGCTGACCCAGGGGAAATTACTCGAGGTTGGTCATGAGAGAGATTCGTTGCAGAGACAACTCAATACTGCGCTTCCACAGGTATGTGTGGTTTTCACCTGAAACTACAGGTTTTTTCTGTTACGTGTCTTTCTGTGGTACCATCTTTTGTTTTTGTACCTGTATATTTTGTGTAACCAACCACTTGTCAAATGATAGTTCCTAGTGTTTGTAAGCACATGCAGAGTTCCTGGGGATTCAGCTACTTAGGGCAAACAAACTAGTGTTCTGTAAAGTCATGTGAAAATATCTTACTACTTTCACTCTTCGCTGAGGAACTGCTAAAGATTTGGGAATGCACTTTGAAGGTTTTTTAAAAAGACTTGAAACAACAACCAAGTGGCATGGTCCTTGGTTTCTTTGATTCTGTTTTGTGAGATCTCTTGCTTAATGTAGGCTTCCCATGGCTTGTATCTCAGGAATTGTATGTGTGTTTAGGATTGTATCTCAAGGATTTGCAGTTTTCTAATGAAATTTGGTAGATAATAATTTTTTTTTGTTTTTGGTATCAGGAATCGAACTGAGGACCTTGCTCTTGCCAAGCAGATGCTTGTTGCTGCTGAGATATTATCTCTAGCCCTTGAAATTTGGTAGACAAGGATTGATTTCACAGAGAAAAATTTTTACAGACTATCTTTACAGAATACCGGTGTTTGTAAATCACATTTGTAATAAGGGATAGAAAACTGGAAATTTATTCTTTAGGAACTTTCTCCTTTTAGACTAGACTTCTAAGTTTAAAACAACTGGGCTGGGGATTTAGTTCAGCAGCATAAGCTTCTGCCTGGCAAGCATAAAGTCATGAGTTTGATCCCCAGTACCAAAAACAAATATATAAAAGTAAAAACCACCTCAAAGTTGGAAACAACTGTAGTTCTTTCTTTAATTATATTACATTCAGCCCAGTATCTCAAAACTGCCTCTTGTGGAATTAAATGGAGACTGAATGGCATGCGAAGGGAGAACATAGTAAAACTAGAAAAATGTAAGGTAAATGGTACACAGCATAGTGGGAGATAAGTAGCTTATTATTTAGGTGTTTATAAGCCATCGAGTACCATTTTACTTGTTCATAATAGTTGCCTTTCTGGTCCATTCAGGTAGACCTGAATAAGCATACATCTATGCTGTCATGATGAGTCTGCAGTGATAAATCGGCAAATGAACACTAGCCCTAATGTATTTGTTGGCTATAGTCAATTCTCCTGAAAGATTAATAAGCCAAGCATTTGAATTTCCTTTTTAGAAACAATAATTTGATGTTAGTGCTATATGTTTCTTTTGTTGGTTAGAGAATCAGTAAATTGTTTGCTTTTGTGGAGCATAGGGTTGAAGGAGGGCTTCATTTGTGTTTGCCTAAGTGCTCTGTCACTGAGCTCCATCCCTCCTAGTCACATTAAGATTTTTCTCATTGGAATCTTATAAATGTCAGAGTTTATTTAGGTCAGATTTTACTATAGAAGATTATAAGAACTGGCCAACTTGTATTTGTGTAGGGAGGTAATGGGGAGCAGTTTATGTGAAGGATTTTATAGTATATACAGGTATTTGTAAATTTGTGATGGTTTAGTTTTGTTTTTGTAATATATTGACTATAATTTGAGGTAGATCTACAGTTTATCTAATACATAGTTAATCTATTCAGTTTTTGGAAAAAACAGGCAGGCAGGACCTGAGAGGGAAGTGACAGGAGTTTTGTAGAGTTGGTTTCAGGCAGTGGGTGTTGTCACACCTGCTGATGAGGTGGTTGCCTGGTGATTTGTTTCTGGGGGGTTCTCAGTGTAGCAGCCTGGAAATGCTTAGTTTAGTGCATAATGTGATGATGCCACCAGGTCCCGTCACCATCTGAGCACCTGATGCAGCATTTCAGAAACACAGAAACCATGAAACAAACTTGTTTTGGTCCTTTTCCTTTCCTGGAATCAGGCTCATCTTTGGTAGTTGTTTGACTAGAGAGGCCTGTCAAGTAAGTGCCCGGTGTACTTTTGGCACATTAGGTAGGCAGGTCAGAATGTGCCCTACTTCTAAAAATTGAAGTAAAAGGCTGGGCATGGTAGTGCATTCCTGGAATCTTCAACCCTTAGGGAGGCCAAGGCAGGAGGATCAGAAATTTGAGCCCAGCCTGAGAAACTTAGCAGTTGTCTTAAATAAAAAATAAAAAGAGAGCAGAGAATGCTCCTCAGAATGAAGGCCCCCAACTATAGCAAATATCAGAAATCTTCTCAGCGAATTTTCCATAGAGCCAACACACTTGAGAAACAGTTCCTACATCAAAATGAAACACTGGAAGCCCCTGCCTAGTTTCCAGTACAGGTGTTTCTCATTTAATTACCTACTTAACAACTGTTTGGACTTCCCTGCTGCTCAGACTTATGCCTCCTCTTTTTTTATTTTTTGTAAAGTTCTGCACATCTGGTTCAGAGACTCTCAATGGTTTTTTTTTTTTTTTTTTTTTTTTTTTTTTTTTTTTAGTTTGTAATGTTTATACAGTACTATACTTTTTCTGATGGTACTCTATGGTACTGTAGTTTCATGTTCTGTTGTACATTATATACTGCATAGAAGTTGTGCAAATAAAGGCAAAGTCATCAAGTTGGAGTTTCCTTTGACCATTTCTTTGTGCTGAGTGTTGTAATGTATGTACTATATACAGCTCCTCATTTAGCAACTAATTCTTTTAACGCTGTACTGACAGGAATAGGACTTGGTGGTTAAATGAGGAATCCTTGTACCTTTCCTCCAATTCTAACAATGGTCTTGATCTCTCACCATTGATTATTTTTGCTTCTTCTTGACTAAATGAAGTAAAATAGTACCTATATTGTGTTTCTTGGTTGTTTCATTGTTCATGAGATTTACCTGTGTCCTATATTTTTTGCCTATTCTCATCTGTTGTCTGGTAATCCAGCATACCAATATATCAAAATTTGTTCTTTTCTATTCATGAACATTCAGGTTGATTCCAGTTTTTATCAATTCTATCCTGAGTATTCTTGTGTATTATTTCTTTTGTGTATGAGAGTGAAGCTATGGCTGAGCATGGCGGCATATGCCTATAAACTCAGCAGGGCAGAATGTTGAGGCAAGAAGACTGTGAGTTTGCGCCCCTCTTGGGCTTTATACTGAGAACCTGTCTTTTTTGGGGGGGAGGTAATGGGACTTGAACTCAGGACGTTGTGTTGCCAAACAGGAGTTGTGCCACTAAGCTATATCCCTGGCCCTCGGATCCTTTAAAAAAAAAAAAAAAAAAAAAGCAGAGAACTGTGGAGTGATAGATATCCCATGCATTTGTTCAGCCTTAAGAGATATTGCTAAAAGTGGCATTGTACTGACACCAACAGCATGTGAGAAGTCAGTGCGCATATCATCTTTACCCCTGACACTGTTCATTCTTCTTTTTTTTTTTTAAACTGGTACCAGGGCTCGAACTCATGACCACCTGCTTCAAGGCAGGCACTTATGCTGCTGAGCTAAATCCCCAGCCCCCATTGTTTATTCTTTTATGTTAGCTTTTCTGGTGCCTATTTAATGGGAGAGGTGACTTAGTGAGAGAGGTACCAGAGATCGAACTCACGACTACCTGCTTGCAAGGCAGGTGCTTTTGCCACTGAGCTAAATGCCCAGCCCTTTATCATGTATTTCATGTATTTCTTTAGCATTTCTACTTCTTCATCTGAGAAGGGTCTGTTCATTTTTGATGCCCATTTTTTGAATTTGGGGGTGGTTCTGTATTTTTGAGCTCCTTATATATTTTAGGCATTAATCCTTTGTCTGAGGAACAGCTGGCAAAAATGTTTTACCATCGCGTGGGTTGTCTCTTCACTCTCTTGGTAGTTTCTCTTGCTTTTCAAAAGATTTTGAATAAGATGCAGTCCAAGTTGTTGATTATTTCTGATAGAAGCTTTGCAATTGGGGTTTTTTTCCATGAGATCTTTGCCTATACTAAAGTCTTCAGTTCTGCCTGTCTTCCAGCAGATTGGAGTTGTTTCTATTTTCATATTGAAGTCTTTGAGCTATTTGGATTTTAGCTTAATGCCTGGGAAGGGATATGGGTCTAGTTGTAATCTTTGGCATGTGGAAAGCCAGTTTTTTCCAGCACCATTTCTTAAAGAAGCTATCTTTCTTCCAGTGAGTATGTTTGGCTCCTTTGTCAAAGATAAGATGATTGAGTATGCTGGAGTTGTTTCTACATCTTAAAATCTGTTCCATTGATCCTTGAGTCTGGTTGTTTTGTTTTGTTTTGTTTTGCCAGTTTTTATCACAATAACTTTGTAGTATAATTTGCAGTCAAGGATTGATTGGATTCCTTTCTGGTTTTGGTATCAGGATAATACATGCTTCCAGGAATGAATTTGGGAGTATGGCTTCTCTTTCAATTTCTTAAAAGAGACTGAAGTAGTAGTATTAGGTTTTCTCTAAATTTCTTGTGGTGTTCAGCAGTGAATCTGTCAGGGCCTAGGGTTTTCTTTATTGATGGGTTTTTAATTACATCTTCACTTTCACTGACAGATACTGATTTATTTAGAATTTTTATACCTTCTTGATTCAGCTGTGGTAATTCATATGTAACTAGGAATCTGTCTATTTCTTCTTTGTTTTCTATCTTACAATACACATTCTGAAAGTAGGTTTGGTTTTGAGGATCTTCTGAATATCTGTAGGGCTTCTTGTGATTTCCACCTTTTGATTCCCAATTGTATGTGTTTGGGTCTTTTTTGTTTTTAATAAGGTTGGCTGAGAGTTTGTCAAGTTCATTTAATGTAACACAGAACTCTTTGTTTCATTGATTCTTTGTATTATTTTGTTAGTCTCCATTGCTTTAACTTTTGCTCTGTTCTCTATAACATCCTCCTTTTTACAAGCTTTAGGCATGACCTGCCCTTGATCTAAAAGCTTGAGGTTCAACAGTAGGTTATTTGAGCTTGCTCTGTTTTTCAGCTATGGGTATTCAGTGCTGTAAATTTCCCTCCTAGGACTGCTTTCATTGTGTTCCTTATGTTCTGTTACAATGTATTGGCATTATCATTTAATTATAGATACTA